CTTTTTGAAATGATACCATTTATATCGACGTTACAACTGATTTAATCTTAAATTTTTCTTAAAGCTTATCTGAATTTAAAGCAACAACATAGTTTTCCATACAATGTATATGTTGTCGAAAAGCAAATTTTAATTTATATATCACTCTAACAAAGACAACAAACGACTGATTTATTCGTTCAAAAATATCCAGAAAGAGGTTACAAATAAAAGCAATTTATACTAGTGTGTTTCTGTGAAGAAGCAGAGATTCTTTCATTGTTTAATGTATTCAGCGTCAATTTCCTCAAACGCAGAATCGATAAGCTACTCAGCTTCGAGACATTTTCCACTGATTAAGGTTAGAAATCTTTATGGTCACAATCTTCCTCAATCAAAAAATCTTAATTTCGTCGTCACTCATTACTGGATATGTTATTCTAAATTAGACGCAAAATAAATTGGGAATTCAGAAACAGATTTCAAAATAATATTAATTCAAAAAAAGATAAATTCTCTCTTTAGAGGTAATGAAATCATTATTTTATATGTAAATGATTCTAAAGCCTTAGCTCTAGTTTAATGTTTGTAGTATTTGAGCTATTCTAATGTCCCATAACTAAGTGAATAAAACTTCAAACATATTATGAGCCTTATCCGAATATTTTGAATTTGCTGAGTGAGACAACTTACAATAGTACGCTCCTTCATAACAAAAGTAAAATTAGAATTTTGTCTCACAGTACTGACGAAGGTATTATTTATTATTAATAATAAGAATAATAATGTCTGAACAATAATGTTCTACCTCTATTTCTTACCTAGTTGTTTTTTGGGCATTCTCCGAAAAAATGGTTGAGAGCTGTGAAAAATATCTTCGTATTTGTGCATCAAAAATTAATCGCAGATATATAAAATTAACTTGGACATGTAGAAAATTTAATTATTATATAATTAATGCAAAGCTATGAACACGAACAACGTACGATATTTTAATTTTCTAACATGTCATGCGATATATTTGCATTAAAATAAATTGAACTTAGTACCTAGACAGATGATAAGATATAACTCATTATAAAATTAAATTAAAAAAAAGAAAGAAAGCAAAGGACCTATCAATTTCGGAAATGGAGGTTTCTACTCGTCTTCAATCATCTACGAAATATAGAAAGTTTTTGATTTTCATTGAAATAAAGAAACAAGCTGTATAAATTTTCAATAATAGGAGAACGAATAACAATAGAGTTTGACCTCGTAACTTTCACTATTACAAAACGATGTAGAACGGTCTTCTGGTTTGGCTGTCTCTTATTGCAGAACTTGAAGGCTTTTTTTTCCTTTTCTTAGGCATATGCACACCGTTTATAAACATAAGCAGGGTAACGTAAATTCATAAACGTACGCACATATGCCTGTAGCTTGCTTTCAAATTCGACCTTTTGGATGTGTTTCTTTTTACCAAAGAAATGTGCACCAGCCTACAGTCAGGTACGAACGTTACATATTTTGTTCGCCGGAGTAGCCGAGTAGTTTAGAATCGCGACTATCAAGTCAATTTCTGGGTTCAAATGTCAAATGCACTACAGTTTAATTTATACGTAGACCTAGACAGTACTTAGTCGGTGAGGGCGTAGCACAGTTACTTTAGCACAAAAGGCATTTTTCTAACTCTTATCATATCTCTAGACGTTTCAAGGCTCCTTTTTAAAGCATATTATAACAAAGAAAAAATTTGTATATCCCTTATCAATCACAGTTGTACCTATTACCTTCCCTATCCATTATTTTATCTACCTATTACCAATTAATTTGATATGACTGCTTCCCCAGAATACATTTCAAATGGATTGATTCTTCATAACTTTTTATACTTTACATTACTTAGTGCACAGGATATGTAATGGTTGTTGTTGTTCTAATGCCTAGAAGAATTTGAGACAGACCCATCTTTTATTATGGTAATCGATTCAAAAACCAATTCGAAAATAGTCCCTCCGTCGGTCTATTTATTTTTGTGTCCAATCCATAGGTCCTAATTTTCGAAATATTTTGGTGAAATTTCGTTAACATGCTGGTTTTGACCAAAGTGCGAAACCAATGGAAAATGTTTCGGATCGGACAACGTTTCGGACCACTTACTTTTAAAATTTTGTGACAAATATTGCTTAGTATTAGTATTTCAGCATTCTAAATTGGTATCAAAACATTGGATGAGATGGAGTAATATTTTGACCCCCTTGCCTTACAACCGTTACTAAGAAAATTGTAGCTTTATATGGTAAAAAGGCTTCGTTTTCAATACTCTTGATGAAAATTCGTTCATAATAATTTGACGTAAAAATTAACCTTACCGAATTTTGGTCAAGTAGATATATTTTTTGGTTCCAAATCCATATAAGGGTTCTATATAAATAAGCCTTTATAAGCTAAAGGGGTTAGATTTTTAATATTTTAAAGTTTGTCCTTCATGAGTTAATCATAGGGCATTTGTGACATATAGATCTATTTTTTAGCCTACACAATTTATGAGGGCTCTCATGAAAGCAAACCCGACATAAACGACAAAAGCGACAAAACCTATGGCGTATGGTTTGTTATGAAACAGACAACAGGGAAATCATAAAATCTTTGACAAGTAAATTAAGATTGCTACACTTAGACCATGCTGACATATGAGTGTCTTCCTTCGGCTTTGCCGAAAACTATGCATTTACATAAAACTAATATATTGTAACGTAAACCGTCATTCTTTGACTATATGTTTTTTTATTCAACCCGTTTTGAGATTAAATTCGTACCACTGAATAGTGACTGTTAGGATAGTATAGACTTTATTAACAATTCTTAAGAGATTTATTCACAAATTGATTGCAGGAACTTATATTTACAACGGTTCGATACTCGCTTTGGTCTTGTGCGTTCGAATGTTGCACTTCAATGCTCTTGGACCTCGACTCACTTTTCGACTCTCTCGATTGACTCGACTAATTTTCGACTAGCCTTTCGACTACCTTTGCCTTCCGCAAACATTCTGAGTAAATTCCCTTTAACAAATAAATTAGGCTTATCTCGGCCAACTTCTGCCAGCTGCACGACGCAGATAACGAGCCATTATTTGTCCCTTTCTTTAGAATTTCGCTTCCTAGAAGATCGACTAATTTTCATGAAAACTCAAAAAAAAATGTTGTAATTTTTGCCGCATTATAATATTTGGTGTGTTGGTAATGAAGCGAAGTCGTATAGGGTATCCAAAGGTCGGTCTTGCCCAGCTATAGCATTTTTAGTTGTTTTACTTAAATAAATTAAAGAGGTGTACCAATCTTCTGTTACTTCCATAACTTTATCGAAAATTTCTTATGTATAGTGTATCTGTGCTCAAAGTTTTATATTTTATGAAAGTCTTGAGCAGACTGCCTGCACTAAAGTCCCGCTTGGTGATGAAAGTCAAATATTTTTCATAACGCACTCCTTTCAAGATATCTGCATACATGGCATATCTTGAAAAATAATTTTTGTTTGTTCTTCCGCTCTCTACTCTAAACAAAATTTGCACCTTCGTTACTTTTTCATTAACACGATAAAGTTTAATTGGTACAAACATATTTAAATTTTCAACGTATTCTGGACAATGTTTTCTACCTATTGTGAATAATCTGTCTGGCTTTCAATTGCCGAATACTGAAAATGTCAACATAGATCGATAGATCGACTATTATGATGAAATTGACTGAGAATTCCACTTTTGTTATAAAGAGTTTGATGATCATAAGTGAAAAAATGAAATCATTATAGCGTGATACAAAACTATCGTTAGCCTTCTTCTGTGTAAAGGTAAAAATAGAACGCCATGTAGTCAAAGTATCCGTTACAAATAAAATGATAAAGAAACTCAAATATGCTCAAGAGACAGCATCGTCGTCACCATCCCAGAAAACTGATACAAATCAGTGCCACATTGACAAAATTTACTGTAGTCTAGCAAACTTTGATACATCTTTTTAAGTACTTTTCATACTCTGAAACACTATTCTGCAAATATACGAACTCAGCAAATAGCGACAGTACATTTTGCTAACCTGTTTTGGTTATATTTAAAAAAACTATATTTAGAACTTGAGCGGAGCAATTAAAAAAATTATTACACATTGCACAACACATTGCTAAATGAGGGCGTGACAGTCTGTTGAATTTTCCATTTAGAAATCTTGGAACTATTCAGTTTTATTTCGAACTTTAACACCCACCTTCTTCATCTTCAAACATTCTAAACACTAAAGTAGAGAAAAAATGAAACAAATGATATTTCAATATTCTGTAATACTAATAAACGCTAATTCTAATTTTTTGTATAAGCACCATAGGACGATTTATAATATATATGCAAACACTTTCATATTGTACCTATTGCAGTTTATGAGAAAAAAGCAAAAAAAAGGTGTCAAAGGTATTTTTCGAATTTACAGACGATATAAATTTTTTTGGCGAAACATTATGAGCATAAGTTAGCTCATCATTGCAACACTTTCACGTAAGTCGATCACAGCATCTATTGTCGATATTACGAAACGTGATTTGATGAGTGTATAATATATGTTAGCAAATAAGGGCTCTAAAGGAGCTAACACAATGAGGCGCTTCCTATTTCCGGGCTGGAACTCCAACCATGCATTATTTGTAAGCAATGAAGAACAAGCAACAACACCTTTTTTTATTCAAGGTTGAAAAATATTCATCAAACTGCTTTAGTAGTGTTAAATGGTAATTTCTAAATTTTTTTTTTTTTTTTTTTTTGGTATGTTGAACAGAGATGGACTAAGCCAATAGATTTGTGACTTATATGTCCAATTTCTAAATTAACGTTCAATTAATACACAGAAATATATATCTAAAACATGTACCTACATATATCTAAACAATCTTCTTTATCACTAATCAAATGTATATAATCAATAAACAATTTTTTTTACTTTTATATTAACTTCCTTTTTTTTATTTTTCATGAAGTTGATGCTTGTCTTTACGTTGATATCTTAATTTTTGGTTCTAAATGCATGTTTTTGTTTACATTTTCCTGCGAAACAATATGGTAGCGCACCTGCCCATTATGTTAACAGCTTGGGAATTTTTAACCCGAAAAAAAGGCTTTATTGTGTTAGGTCCTTATCTGGTTATTCGGCGATAGTCAGTAAACGGAATCTAGTCGTTTCATGACGTCTCAAAAAGACTGTACCAAATCCATCTCAATAACAGGGTAAGCACTTCTGTAAGCGGTGACCTGTTTACAATAATAAAATTTTTTCGGTGCGATGATCGGTATGCGATCCAAGTCGAAAATAAAAATGGACTATATATGGTTTTGGAAGTGCAACACATTTTACAGCCTAGGGAACTAACAATGAGAGCGTTTCGATATATTTTGAATCATACTTTTACATATTTGATCAGTGATTCGGCCGACGCTTCCTATGTGGTCACGACTGCGATCAAAAACAATTAATGCTATATAGATATATATGGAAAGTAATAAAGAAAAATAATTCGCTTTAGTAGGCAAAGGCTGTCGACTAACAACTCAATGTGGTTTCAAATCTCTCTAGTGCGGTAGAGTTCTCATTAAAGCCCATAGCTTTAGACGGTAGTTAACCTAAAATAGCCGTGCTAAACTTTGTAACAGTCAATGCGCCACAAAGTAAATTTTATTTACAAAAAAAGAAATTCTTGGTGTGGCACAAGACTTCCAGAAACACGACTCCTATATACCATAAGTATACGAAAACGACACGAAACCGTAAGATTCCAAAAAATTTCAATATAAATACTAGTGCTTTAAGAGTTTAGTCTAAGAATGAATTTCTCCGGCAAAATCGTTAATAATGATAATTATAATAACGAAGAAAATGTTTCGTAGAAAATTTTAACAGTTAATAATCCTGCTATATTATTTATGACGATTAAAAATGTTGACGTCACAGGAATAATCATTTCTGTATGTTAGTAGCAATTCTTCGGGCTGATTTGCAAACTTTCTTAAAATTAATCAGTTATGAACTTTAATTAATTTTTAATAAAATTATCAAATTTTCTTGTTTACTTTAATTAGAAAAGCTTCGGCTTTAAAACCGAGATTAAAATTCAAAAATCAAACTGCAATAGTTGCTATAATAAAACCATACAAATTTGAATAATATATAAAAACAGGTAACAATTCGCACACAACAAAAACGCACAAAAATATCTTTTTGACAAAAATGTTTTGCGGCATAACTTAATTATACTGATACTGCTTAGCTCATATTTTTCGCATTTGTTTATATTCCGTTGATTATAATTTTTTTTAATATTTGTTAATATTAAATAAACGCACACCATGGAACTGCGGTAATTTCGGTAGCGTAACAATAACCAATGAGATAAAATTGGCAATAAAATGCTCATTATCATTACGAGTATATAAACAGGTAAGCAAGAACCTATAACAGAAACAAAAACGTTAATTCATGTCATATTAAGATAGATAACTTACAAAACAATTGGTACAGCTGTCAGAAATTTGCGTGTCGCTGTAAATTGTTCCCCGTCATCTATTTGTTCCCAATGTGTTAAACGACGCCTGGTATCATTTTCAATTGAATACCAAGGAGCCCCTTTTATTATATGCAGAAAATACAAATGAGCCTATAAAACAAAAATCAAGGATTATACGTACTGATGGGCTAACCTCCCTTCTTCCTTACCGCGTTATGCGTTAGATTAGTTAACGTCCAAGCCATTGGTATTGTTATAAAGGGCACCGATAATAATATTAAGTGAGCCGATAAAACTCCCAAAAAATATGCCAACCACGTACCACGAGCTCCCAGCCAACTACTATTAGGATTGAGTTCGCCGTGGCCTCCAGCAATAACCGTCATTTTTTTTAACAAATGCTTTGTAGTATTTAGTCTACCTATTGTTAAAATATGAACAATTTGGTAAATACCTATGATTTTAATTAAATGTACACATCGAAGTGGTGCCATCCTTTTGAAATTCAAAGCCCCAAGAAGTAAAAAACGGAATACCGCGGATAAGATTTCTCATTTGTAGACACTAAACCTTCAGAAATTGTGGACTAACTATTTCAGTATTCTAAGAAGTACCCTCCCGTAATAATACAAAGCTTGGTAATATTTCAATTTAGCGAGCAAAGCAATTAAAAAAGTAATTTAACTGCAACTTCTGTTGAATAAAATTGTTAGGAGATACAAGGGAAACACAATAAAGCTTTATTTTCTTTTTTCGGGTTGGGACTCAAACTTTACCAACTTTTTTCAAAACTTTATAAGAATTCGCAAACCAATGGCTTTGTCTGGGCGTTTAAAATAAAGCAAAAAGAAAACAAGGCACAGGAAGATACATAAGTAATTTATTTTAAATTGAAAAATTATTTATCTAATTTGTGTTTACCTTACAGTAATGTATATTTTTTCCATATTATGTGATTTGCAATTTCGGTTTGTTCTGTGCATTATTTTGTAAAAAACAAGCAATAAAGTTGACTTATATTAAATTTGAAGTGGTTCTATTAGAGAATCATAAATGGTATTTTACAAATTATAGATTAATTAATACATCAAAGTGCTCTCTATAATGCAATAAATTTTAGGCACATTTTGAAAAAATTTTTTTTTATAAATTTGTTTGTGTTTACGTACATTTCCTGGTTTCTGTATCCTAGAACTATGTTTTTCTTTACATTTTTCTGCAAAACAATATGGTAGCGCGGCTGCCTCTTGTGTTTCCATTTAGGAATTTTTAACACGAAAACGAAAATGATGCCTCGTTATATTATCCCCCTACGCCATTTCATTTTTAAACCATATCAGGCTTGACATTCTGCTGTTTGAACAATAACTTGGCGTCGATAATATTAGAAAATGCCGAGCTGCCAGCAAAAATTAGCAACTCCAAAATTACAAATGGCAAACGCATAATTTCGTATATGAGCAAGTCATGTTTCTCGGCATAAGCTTGGCCAAATTTTCCTTAAAAAAACTTGTGCAAGCAAATTTGTCTTCAATCTCTTTTACCGGGAGAGAACATCTGTGCAAAATTCAAAATTGCTTACACATAAAATGAAAATAAACATAAATATAACAATTCTTTCTCATTACATGATTATTGAAAAGAAAAGCTAAGCAAAAAATACATTATAAATTAAATGTACATTGCTAGAATATTTTTAATTTTTTGTTGCAAGTTTTTCAATTTTTTTTTTTTGCCGTTTAAGTCGGAATGGTTATCGGCTTGGATATACTCATGTCTTTAAAATGTCTTATTTCTTTAAACAATTTTTACAGGCACCAAATTTAAAGATGACTTCATGGTAATATTTATCACATGGCTTTAGTATAACATCCGGGAATGTTTTATGGTTCATCGCATCCGGATACTGTTGAGTTTGAAAGGAAAAAGCCCCGTGCTTCTCATAGATAGCACCATCTTTCCCAATAACCGGGTATTCCGTTGCGTCCATATTGGGCAGATTGTTAGCAGTATAAAATACAACAGTCGGTTGATTTGTTATCACTTCTAACCAACGACCAGAATAAGGATGCACAATTTTGGCTATAGTTTCGGGATTACCTGGCCTTACGTCAACGCAGAAGTTTTTGTCAAAGCCAGTGATGGGACAATTCCTAAACTTCTTAATAGTTTTACCCAAATTGGTAAACTTCCTTACATCATATGGAGTGTTTTTCACTGGCATCAACATACCAGTCGGTATTTGATCATTGTCGGTATCCACTACTTTGTCGGCTTTAATAAGTACAGAATGTTCATATAACGATTCTTTGCCGGCAGCATGGCCTGCTAAATTAAAATGTATATTGTTGCTTATGTTAACTGGGGTGCAATCGGTACTTTCAGCTTCTATGCAAATCCGAAAGCTATTACAATCATCTAAAGTGAAACTAACAATAACTGTTAATTCGCCAGGATAACCTTCGTGACCACTTGGGTTGCAATGTGTTAAATCTAAACCATTCGAACGTACTTTACATACTTCCCAGACTACGCTATCCAGACCAACAAAACCGCCATGCAATTGATGTTTATTAGAGAGGTTTTTTGAAACGCAGACTTCACTACAAGCCATTTCAAACTTTCCATTGCTAATACGATTTGCTACTCGACCGAGTATAGCACCCATGTATGATTTCCGATTACTCACGTAGCCTTGTACATCATCAAAACCCAAACATACGTCATCAATTTGACCTCGTTTATCAGGAAACTTTATACTTGTAACAGTAGCCCCTCTGGTAATGACGGCAACAGATAACTGATGGCAGTTTGTCATCGTGAAACGTCGTACTTTCAAGGCTTTACCAGTTAAAGGATCTTGTACGGTACCAAATTCATCTTCAACCACACAAACCATTTTATAAAGCTTTTACTGCGTTGATTTGTTAAGAAAAATGAAAATTTTAGAGATTTTGAATTTTTAGAAAATTTTCGTTTTCAAATAAGACGAAATATTTTTCCGAATTTTGCTGTATATGAAAGATTTACAATGAGACAAAAGTCTACTTATATTCTTCGAGTCGATAATCAAATTTGAATTTTGAGTTATCTGAACTTGTCGAAATGATTAGCAGATGTCTATGCAAAGCATATATTAGTTTTTTATTCATGAAACCGTCAATCTTTGCGAAACTAAGATATTCGACTTAAAACAGTGTAACGACGGCGACTTGCTGCCCTTTTTGCTGATATCTTAATTATGCTCAAAACTTTTTATTAGGAATCAGAATTGCAAACAAATAGTGTAATAAACTCCACTAAGTCACTGCGTTAAATTGACGTAAGAAGACGTATTTAGATTTCCTGTGGTGATGGACATTACTTTAAGTAAAAAAACTGAAAAATTATATTTGCTTAGTAATGTTTGAATACTTATCATAAGCGAGTATTAAGTCGAAAGAAGTGCTCAATTAATACATAAACATTTTGTTGCATATATAAACAAATTAGGTTTCTATTTATATTTGTACACAATTTAGCAGCACAGACAGTTTATTACACAATTTGCGAAAATACAAGTATTAGTTAGTAATAAGTAAGTAAATTGGTAACTCTGTTTATGTTCAGATTATTAGGACTATTAATTAACAAAAGAACTTCGTACTTTAGTTTGATCAGGTGTGGTTATTTGTTTCATTGTTTGACTGCCGGTTGTCTATTCGTATTATCTTGCATTACGGTGGTTTTTTGAATCGCCACTTAAGTGCTACCTCAGTAGCTTAATGCCGCTTGTGTTGTGTGGGACTCATTAGATACTTAATATGTGTGCCACTTGTCGCACATCTATGGGTAGTGATAACGGTGTCAGTTGCCAAGGGATGTGTGGCAAAGTTTATCAAACCATGATTAGTTGTAATAGGTTAGACCCCAGTATTCGTTGAAAATTGTTGAGAGTGATAATTTAAAGCAGTTTAAGTATCCTGATTGCCTAATCTACACCCAGGACGTTGACTTGGTTTTAAAAGAGATCTAGGGTACTTTGAACAAGAATAGGGATACAAGGATGATATCCAAATTGCGTTGAGAGAAAATGAAGTCAATGTTCAAAAGAGAATCGAATAGAAACTGAAGAGTATCAAAATAGTCATCGAGCAATAGAATGCGCCTGGCGGCAAACTGAACGATGCAGCTGAATGGTATATTGAAGGTTTCAAAAACTTGACTGTGTTAGCAGATGAAATTGAAGAGGGTTCGTCCGTTGTTGATGTCGTCAATACTCGTCTTGATAGTAAAGTTAAAGAAAAAATAACAGTGAAATACAGTAAGTTCTCTGGATAAAAATATGCATGCTAAAAAACTAAAAATTCGACGGCTCACTGAAGAAACAATAATATGACGGTAATTAGTTGCTGTGGAAAAAAGGCCAAAAAGTACCATGACTAATGAATATGATATCATGATTCCCAGTAAACTAAATCTTCGAATCAAAGTACCCAATATAAGTTTTAATCATGACAAAGAGGGCCTCGAGAAGTTACTGTGTCAGAATCCTGTTTTAACCGATAATACATTTAGAACTATGAAGACATACCCTATTTCTAGATGAAGTAGGACGCACTGTACTGCTGTCGTAGAGACTCACATTGTATTG